AGCAAATTATTCTATATCATTTGTGTACATTAGTAATAAAACAGCAAACACAGCAAGTACCGGTAGTGATCCAACATAAATGTCCTGATATGTAAACTTAGATGGAAAAGAAGGCACCAATGCGGACAACGGGACGTATGGCTGATGTCTTTATTAAGATACCAACAGAATTTTAGGTCATAAATCAACTCCACTATCAATCCAATCCCTCTGGTTATGGTCTGATTAAATAAAAACAGACACCTCGGGTCCAGCAAAACATTAGTAAATGATATAAACTATGAATGTAATAATATTGACAATAATATATGACTTACTCCATTTCGTATGCATTTCTTCACTTTTTCGTGATCTGTCTTATTCCGAGCGAGTTGAATTTTGGTATCCTTCCAAATTTAACTGTAATAATCCGGTAGATTATTGTAGTGACAAGCAATCTTACCTTCGCACACATTCATTAAGTATATTTCCACAACTTTTCAATAACATTACTCAATGGAGCTATTTTCGGAACAATTGAGCATGGTGGAATGACTGGTTACTTCTTTGTCAGACCAGCGAACTGTTTCTTACAAAAAAATATTATAGTGTAGTCTAGTCTATAGATCACGTTGCTAGTAATATATATCTACACATGATATTTGAAGGCTGCATCACACTTCAATGCACAACACGCTTTAAATAATAAAAAGGCATGAGGACCCCAGTTTATTCTTTTTGGTTTCGAAAGATTGCTTGGTTTTTCTTGGTTTGTCATGGCTAACACTGTTGGTTATTTTATGTCGAGGAAATAGGCGGCAAGAGCCTTTCTAAGAACACGCCAAGGTAAGCGCGGCTGGCTTATGCGGGTATTTAACGCACAAACCAAGGATTACAAGCTTTGCACTCAGCTATCTGAGTTACCGCAACTCTTCTTATGAAAAATAAGTGTGGATTTCCACTAAAATATACTGACAACATACCGGGCGTGTTTTTAAAAATATGTTTTAAAAATTAAATACACCAAACCCCTCTTCTATGTTAGTTCAATTTTTCCAACACTTCATACCGTATTTGAGACATTATCATTTAATTTGGGTATCAAAATATCTAAAATGTGGTAGAAAGGGTCAGAAGAAACTTGGAGTATTTTGTACTCAGATTTTGCTATATACAAATGCTGGTGGGGTTGGGGTTGTGGGGTTGTTGTTTTTGTTGCTGCTGTTTTCACCAAACCTTGCGCATGAATGTCTTTTTCGTCCATCACTCAAATCACAATACCAATAAAGCCTGGCATCATTTATAGTAAGGCAGTAATATATACGTAATTCCTGACATTATTTGTAGTAACGTTGTAACCTATACATAATTTCAGACATTATATGTTACTAAGTAACCTATACATAATGCCTGACATTATGTGTCAGAAAGTAACCTATACATAATGCCTGACAGTATCTGCAGTCACACATTAGCTTGAATACAATGACTGGCATTATCTGCAGTCACACATTAGCTTGTATACAATGACTGGCATTATCTGCAGTCACACATTAGCTTGTATACAATGACTGGCATTATCTGCAGTCACACATTAGCTTGTATACAATGACTGGCATTATCTGCAGTCACACATTAGCTTGAATACAATGACTGGCGTTATCTGCAGTCACACATTAGCTTGTATACAATGACTGGCATTATATGCAGTCACACATTAGCTTGTATACAACGACTGGCATTATCTGCAGTCACACATTAGCTTGAATACAACGACTGTCATTATCTGCAGTCACACATTAGCTTGTATACAATAACTGGCATTATCTGCAGTCACACATTAGCTTGTATACAATGACTGGCATTATCTGCAGTCATGTGAATCATCATTTTAAAGATCAATAATATGGAGGGCTATTACTGCCATAATTGTATCTCTGTATTTTAATTTTATACATGCATTTTTCATTGTTATATAATGTATATTCTATTACCATTATTTTCTATTTCGCAATTTATGTGTGTAGAATGTACATTTTGGATTTTCATCGTCACATGTAAGTGTGCCATTACAATAATGTAATATCGTATCTGCGGAAAAGTTCATGTACATTTTTTATTACACAGGCTAATATTCTGAACTGTCTTTAAAGCCTTGAATGTTCTCTTTACTGTTTATAGATTGGCCAGAAGAAACTGTTTTGTACTACGATTTTGCTGAGTGATTATGACATTGTTTAAACCATGACGCGCATAATAATGTTTCTTTTTATTCCACTAGTCACAAAACAATGACCTTTAAAAGAAATGCATGACATTATCTGTAGTCACACAGTAACCTCTACATAATACATTATATCATCTGTAGTCACAGTAACCTATATATAATGCCTGCCTTTACATGCCGTCACACAGTAACAACACATAATGCCTGACATTATCTGTAGTCACACAGTAACCTCTACATAATGCATGATATCATCTGTAGTCACAGTAACCTATATATAATGCCTGTCATTACCTGCAGGCAAACAAAAGAAAATATACAATTCTTGGCAATATCTGCATTAACATAGTGACGTGAGTCAGGTATTTTGCACATTCTAATCATCCACAATCTACGGATCCACAGAATCCCAGAGTTTGTTGAATAGCAATTCAAGATTATTGCTCTCCTCATCCAGAGTATAAATTGTTTTCTCATTTTGTTTGGTCTATTTTTGTTCCCTAATCATTGTTTCTTATACAGGTGAAGTATTATGAGGAAACCAGACCTCATCTTCACTGGTCATGAGCAGTTTCAGCATGGTTTATGTCTTTCTCATTTAATAATCGATTTCTTTTATTGTTATAAATTGACGATCATACTTTTTGTAAGTATTACTACATTGTTTGCATATGGATATATGGAAATTCTATCGCGACTCGATTAAAACTGCCCATTATACCTTTGTGTAAGTAACGCGACATTTCAAGTATGAATTGCATCAGTTTGCATGTTAAATTGTTCGTCAGCTTGCCATCGTGTTTTCAGCGTTTGTTCTGTGGTATTTCTTTATGCTACATTAATATTTTAATTGTCCTGAAATGTAACCTATGTAAGTAACTCTATGACAAGAATTGTCTCACAAATTTGAATACGAGGAAATTAAATTGGCAGATCTCAGAGCCACTTGAATGCTAAAGGAAAATTTTATTTGACAACAGCAATCTGACGCCTCTCGACTGTTTGGTTACCTTTTACATAATATATCTATATTCAAAACTTGTCAAAATAATTATCTATTAAATATAATTTGGACGGAAATACTCATTCCAAATTTTGCTGAGTACTTTTTGCACAGATGCTTTCTCTAGATAATGTGCAAAAAAATGTTTTTGCTGCAACAAATATACAACATTCCAATCCACTGACACACTGATTTCACGATAACATTTAATTTGTACTTAGTCCAATAAGAAACAAACCCAAATAATAAAAATTACAAATAAGTAACGGCTATACAACGAAATGCTCAGACAGGAAGTTTTCATTATCAATTTAAAGTGCTCTTTAACGTCAAAATATATGGACTGGTGGTTTGTAGTGGTATAATAGTAAAAACACGAACCATAAGAAGCCTTCTCCCTTGCATGACGAATACAGCATTCTTCAAAAGCTCCTGTCTAGAATAGGACAGTTATCGTATATGTCATGATCAATTCAGATAAATCATTGATGCATCGCTACTCGATATATCGATCCTTATAGCATTTATTTTACAGTAAAGATTTTACCACAAATTGTAATAAATACACATTTAGACAGAATGAGGAATAGATAAGGTTACTTATAAACAAATTATAGCTGCGGTTCTTTTTTCCCTATTGTTGACTTAAATGATTTATTTATTTTTGCTTAATTGTATATTTATTATTGATTATTTCTTGCCTGTGTTGCACACATTTATTTATTAGGCTTTCACAAAGAAGCTTCATTTAAGTTTCGAACCAGCAGCTCTAAGACTATGTTGTGAATGTATCGAAAGAGTATATGATCGAATATAGGGGTAATATTAAAATTTCAGAGCAATTTAGCATTTTTAAAATTGCCGAAAAAGAAACACGGAATAAACATGAGAAACGTTTGATAAGCATTTTGCCCTCTATGACTACTTCGTATTTATTGAAAACCAGCCTATGTTTCTTCCATTTTATTCCTTAAATTTCTGCTGAAAAATCATAGTTCGTCTGCAGAGAAGATTTAAATGAATTTCCATATTTTAAACAGGTATTATACAAGACAAATATAATATTTATAACTACTTTTTTTCTCAACATCACCAACGTAATAAGAATTGGAGACATTATCACCGCACTCGCAACAACCTCGAATCTTTTCTTCCTTCAAGCATAACGGAATAGACTGAGGATATTCGGATTGACGCTGGTGCGCTAGTTAAAGATGGCTGATTAGTGCAAGTTATAAACTGTAATGTGTGTATGTTTATGTGTAGTATGTGTATACTTTATAATTACATGTGTGTCAGACACTATAGTAAGTAAAAGTTTTTGTAAATATACATTTCATTTATATTTTTAATAATCAATTATTTAAGGATTACAGGAAAGGTACGTTGATCTTAAACTAAATGTATTATATTCGCAAAATATGTATGTATGTATGTATGTATGTATGTATGTATGTATGTATGTATGTATGTATGTATGTATGTATGTATGTATGTATGTATGTATTATTATTATTATTATTATTATTATTATTATTATTATTATTAATTCCGAGGAACGTGTCTGTTTAGTCAAAAACACTTTAATTGTTTTGTTAATGACAATATTCTATTTCAATTGTTGACTTCTGAATTTTGTTTTATTTTTTAATATAGAGCTGGCCATTTAATGTTTCCACCTGAAAACAATTCGCTCAGAAAGCATTAAATAATAATATGACAAGCTTGTTCTGTGTAGTTTATGGCTACAATAAACGCACCACTCCAGTTGCCTAAGTGGTTAGAGCGTCCGCTCCGTTGGCCTAGTGGTTAGAGCGCAGGCCTCGGATGTGGGAGGCCGCGAGTTCGAACCCCGGCCGAGTCATACCAAAGACTTATAAAAACTGTACTAACAGCTGTCTCGCTAGGCTCTCAGCACTGAGATGTTATTGTTAGGACTGGTCGGCCTGGTGTCAAGATAATTTGACTGGGTAGGACATCAAAGTATATGTCTGCGGCATGATGCCCAGTGCTAGACATCAATATAAACTGCCACACTGGGGATATCGCACTGATGTGACTAAAATGATTAAATATGCAATGAAAATCTAAACCACACGCAGACACACACACACACACACACACACACACACACACACACACACACACACACTAAACCAAAATACATGTTTCATTTTGAGGCTAACCATGTATTGCAGGCTAGAACTATGATTGATTACTATCTGTGGCGTAATGGTTTTCAGACTGAAACTTGCTTTCCCATTGTTGTAAGGATGAGCTATCTTCAAATAGTTATTTTCATTGTATATCGATACACATTTCTTTAGGGTTGCCAGATTTTTTTTACTGATTAGTTCTTGCTCAGGTCGCGCACTCTTATATCTTGACCTTTCACACATAAGCTTTATGTAAATTTTTGGTTTGTCGTTTACAGACCGCTTTGTTATGAGATAGGAAGAGTGCCACCATATTATATACGCTTGGTTATTGCGAAATGTGATGCTATTTATTAGTTGGGTGTGCACTGAACATATTCTTCTGTGACATTTTCGCCGGTTTATTTTTCGCGTGACAAACAACGTACTAGATATATCGCAGCGTACTTACATTTGACCTCTTCCCGTGACGGAATATAAGTTCTTCTGGGATTCCCCCTTTTTCTTGACTCTATATATTTATAGTTATAAGATATTTGTCTTAATTCTTTATCACCAGAGACAAAAAGTGTTCGTTGTAAAACAAAGGCTAGAACATCCCATTGACGATACATACTGTCGATATAGATTCCACACAAATTCTTAGATTACATGCTGGCAAATATTTTAATACCCTGTAATTTCCCAGTAAAGTTGTGTTTTGATAGAGCTAGCAAACTCAGTGTTTATCCAAGGAATACATGGCATGTGGTACGTCCTTAACTGAACGGGACACTATGTTAAAAATCTAATATGTCAATCATTAGAAGCAAGACAGTTTCACTTTGGTATGAAAATATCCATTGCATCAGACGCACAAAGTGTGCGAGAGGAAATAACTTTAAAGTTTTGAGCTAGCATTTAAGAGTATCACTTATTAGTAGTAGAATTTCATATATATTTTATAAAAGCAAAAAACTTCTGAATGATAGTGCAAGTTCATACAAATGTTCATAACATTTCTGAAGGATATAATGTTATTTGTAGTGATGATTTATTTATGTAAATCATGTAACCTATATTTGAATACAATTTGAAAACAATAGTCAATAAAAAATATTTTAAAATGTTATTTTAAAGTTATTATTATTATTGTTATTATTATTGTTATTATTATTATTATTATTATTATTATTATTATTATTATTATTATTATTATTATTATTATTATTATTATTTTAAATTAAGTCAATCTTCAGATGAGTATTTGTTATTCATTTCATCGTTTGATTTACATCCTTCTTTAAATCGATAAATACCTAACATTTCTACGCGAATGACAAGCTTGAAATTCTTGATTCCGCAAAAATAATAATAATAATAATAATAATAATAATAATAATAATAATAATAATAATAATAATAATAATAATAATAATAATAACAGCACACAGGAAACACCCAGTTCTTAAATGAATGTGAAATTTGTTTTGATTGATATTAAGTTGCCTAAGTGGTCAGAGCGTCCGCCACGGATGCGACAGGTTACGGGATTTGAACCAAGTCATACCAAAGACTTATAACAATTGTACTAACAGCTGCCTCGCTAGGCACTCAACATTAAGATGTTAGTGTTAAGACTGATCAGCCTCATGTCAGGATACCATAATTCTATGTGCCTGAGTCATGATGTTGAAGTGGTAGATATCATTATAAACTGCCACACTACAGACGTCGCTGCGATATGTCTGCAAATATTTGAAAGCTACATTAAACATCTAAATCAAACACACGAACACACACATACACACACAAACATTTAATTGTTGTTTTAAATTTGTCTGAACCTTGTACTAACATTTAACTGAAATATGAATTATATGCACTTTAGCCAAAATCTTGCACGTGTGCATACAATGCTCAGTCGTGCCATGTTATACATAATAAACAGCAGAACGTAACAAAGATGTACCTCTTACTCTCAGCACGCTGCATTTCAATTAAGTTTTTGAGCTCATTTCTCCGCCATTAACTTTTGCAGTTACCAGGAATTTCCACACCCTGACGTGTTTAATCGAGCGGTATACATAAAAACGCAGTTTATGGTGTCATAACTTGAAACAAGTAATGGCTTACTGGCTTTCTGAAATGTTCAGCTATAACAATTAGGTACAGGATGGATAACCGTTAATGGTTATTGATAACCTGGATTTTTTTTGTACTGAAGAAAATTTGTGGGGAACATGTATGCTTTTTATAAGTTAAGATTTAGTGCATCCCTATCTTGTCAGGATGGCATCATTCATAATAGGACATAGATGTAATGAAGACTGTTGGATAGAGAGCAATTAAATGGTTCCAGGAGCAGGTATTTTCAACTATTAATTTACCAGTTTAAACATTAATGAAAAGTGTACAAATTCGAGAGCATACTGGGGTCAGCAGTGTATCATAAGGATAGTGACAGGCCCTACAATATCAGATTCAACTTGTTCTCACCGTAACACTTATTTGATATTTATGGTGTTACTATCGCGACAGTATGTTCTCTGAGGAAGGGGGTGGGATGTCAGCAACATTCCAGTTGGTGGATATTACTTTATTGGTGTAGCCATTTGATTTTTTGTTAGGGGGGTAGTGGGGTTTGGATTTTTATTTGTTGTTTTGTGGGGTTGTATGTTTGTGCTGTTTTACCTTTGGTATTTTGTCTTTCTTTAAAAGTCAGATTGTGAAGACTATTCATTTTAAAGGACAGACATTGCTGAATGCCTCCTAAATGATGTTAAAATGGTGAATTTACACCGCAGTTAGAATAAGCCAGAATTGAATTAGCGAAAAAGTTTCCGACAAACACAATTAAGCTTCGTAATGGGAGATAACTCGCGGTTCCATCTAGCGAAAACATAGTCTGGTTCCCTGACCTCTCTCCACTACGTTGCTCTTCGTTATGAGGGTCAGGTAACAGCCTCCGCCATGTTGAAATTGCGCAATATAAATGGAAGGTAAGCATGCATTTTGATCAGCATGGCTCACAACATTAAATATTCTCGCATAGAAGTGTTAAAAAGTGTGTCCTTTGTGGGGAAATGATGCACCAAGATGAGTTCTACTTGGCTGTATTCTTTAAAATCTATGTTAAGTCTTCGTAGAATTTTGTGCAGCGTTTTAATTTACAAAATACGCACATGTGGGGTGGGGTGAAAATACCATTTTACTTGACCCTGTACAAAATTAGGCGCGGCTTAGTTTTTGTATACTGATTTTTTTTTTTGCAACCATAAAGTTTGATAGTTTGAAATAGGTCCAGGCCTTAAGACATCGGCTGTTCTTAAATTATAGCCAAGGTTTTGATAAATCACATTAACACGTCCAGGACAATATTTGACAAATGCACGATTAATATGTTGTTTTTTTCTAGAGTGAGGTTGAGCTTTTAAGTTCTATAAGTAGAATGAGTCTTGTTATATATTTTAACCTCTTTTTCAATATTTACAGCATATTTCATGCAAACTACATTTCCTTGATTTCACCCTCTCCCGTCCTCAAGCCACTGCCACTTAAGTTTCTTGTAAAAATATTTTATTTATTTTTCATTTTTATTATACTTTATATATATATATATATATATATATATATATATATATATATATATATATATATATATATACACACACAAACAAACACACACATTCTCATGTGTAAATGCAGGTGGCCTGAAAATGGAGAGAAGACCAACATTATTCCATACTTGTTCAAAGACATCTAATGTTCCAAAGGGAAAAAGAGGAAGAGATTTCTCATCACCAACTGGAAAGACTTCTCAATAAGAATCAAAGAAACAATTACTCAAGGTACCCAGTTATTAAGATTATGAAATATGTATATAAGCATCTTTTGAAATCAGTATATACATAAAATAATTATAATCGTAAACTTGACTTAAAGACGAGTCACTTTTACATTCATAACATAAATACGAAGAAAAAGATGAAATTAAGAATATAGATTTAATTTTTATTACTGATATCATTTGTTTTAAAAATTTTGGTTTTGGTTTTGGAGGATGACTTTTAAATGGTGTAATAAATCTGATCATTGTACAAAAAATAAGATTGTTGGTAACCTTTTGAAAATCAGCATTACACTTTATTTATTTTGTACTTTTCCAGCTGATATTAATGTTATTATGAACACATGTTGGTATTTGATTTTATTCAGGATCCTACCTTGTTGGGAATACAGAGGTCAGAGGAAGAAAAAGATTTTCTAAACACATATGTTTTAGAAGCAGGAGGAGTACGAACCACTAGAGTATATCCATTTTGGAATGATTGTGCTAACGAGCTAAATAAACACTATGGTTCTTCATGCACTGGTAGACTTTTGATGTTTCCTTAAATTCAGATAACTATTGAGTATTCTGAATACACATTCTAAGATGTTTTAATTTAATTGTCATCTTATTTATACATTTATTAGTTTATATGTTCTTTGTTTATGCAAATGTCCATTTAGATTGGACTATTTTGGAAATCTTCATAATTATTTTCCTTTTTGTTCTTGTTTCATGGTGAAAATATGAAATTATATATATATATATATATATATATATATATATATATAGATAGATATCTGTGTGTGTGCATGTAGTATTCTAGCATATATTATTAAATAATTTTAAATAGATGTGAGTAGAGTAGGATTATGGTTTTAAATGGTAGAACATTGA